TTCCATCCTGTGTGGGATTGGAGAGCTAGGGCCTCCCACTGGTCCAGATGCGACACTGGCGAGGGCATTTGTTCCAGATTGGCAGAAAATTCGCCCAGCCACTGCAGGTCCTTCTGCACCAGGGCAAGCCACGAATCCGGGACGTCTGCGGCTAGTTTGGCCAGCAGGGAGGTGAGGTGCGGAGGCCCCGTGCGGAGGAGTCTGCCAAAGAGGCGCAGACGCATTGCACTAAAGATATGCGGTAAAGGGGGTCTGCAGACCTTGGCCAGGATAAATGAGTCTCGCTCTGCCGTGCTGTCGCACCTTGGGAGGTGGAGCAAGCGCCTGTGCATTCTCATGAGTTCCCCTTGTAAGGAGACTATTTGCGGCCCAGTGAGCAATGGCCAAACAGCTGCATTAAAAAGGCGGGAAGAGAGGATGAGGGAGTCCAGTAAATGCAAGTGCTCATGAAGCCAGGTACTGGAGGAGTGGCGCAATAATTGCCTGGCTAGGTTACGCCAGCTGGGGGCCGCCTCCGATCGCCTGTGGGCGAGCTCGGGGCCTATACTGCCCTTTTCGTCCAGGTGTGTGCCTAGATATGTGTATATTCTGGCGAAGTGGAGGGAGAAAGGCAAGTGCCCTAGAGCAGGTGAGACTAGCATGTGCCCATTGAGCCCTTGGGGGTCCCAGAGCTTGCGGCGAAGGGATATGGAAGCTTCCCCTCTAAACTGAAAAAGGCACATGGTTTTGTTGACTTGAAAATTTAGCTTGATGCCTGAGAGCGCGTAGGCTTCAACTATGGCGGCCATTAGTGCGGGCATGGCGTCAAATAGCTCCTTAGTGGGACCAAGGAAGGCATATGCTCCATCATCGAAAAAGCATGAGTCTAGATATTGGTGGAGTTCTGTCTCTGCGGAGGCAATATTGTCCTTGTGATGAGCGAAAAAAGAGCGCGGGGCATCCTTGTTCACCTGGACATTGAGAATAAGGTGTGCAAGCGGTGATTCGGTGAGCTGCTTGACAGCTTCGTTGTTGGCTCGGGCCATGAGGAAGTTGAAAAGAACATCTCCGAGCTGCTGTCCTGGGATGGTGCCACGCAATGTGAGTGCAACCCCTGAGGCTCCCGGGTAAAAAGCCCAAGTATGCTCGTATGCAGCCGAGATTTGAGCATGGAGATGCGGGGGGAGACCAGCCTCCTGCAGAATAGGAGGGGCAGAGAGCAAGTGTCTTATTAGTTCTTCCCCTGTCTCCTGAGGGAGATCAAAGGAGGCAACCAAGTAGTAGAGGTCGGCTTGTTGCGAGTCGCAGTAAAATATAAGCTGCCGGAGGGCCCTGTAAAAGGCTGAGACAGCGTCTATAAATATGTACGCTGAAGAAATGCGCAGGCTATTTGCGTAGGCTTGGTGCGCTAAGACCGCAAGCGTGGCGAAATCTGCGCCCCGTCCAGCAATGCCGCCTGATTGCGAGGCGCCTGCCATGGGAGGAAGATATTCCACCAGTTCTTTACGCAATAGGGCACGATGCCGCTTGGAGAAGTGGGGGGAGGCCATTACCGAGCGGGAGTTGGCCATTATGGCCGGATTGCCTTTACCCTTAAAAATGTCGAAATTGTATCCTCCCCGCCAAGCCAGCGGTTCCTCAAGGCGCACTTGCGCCTTGAGGTGGACCGGGTAGTACCGCTTCGCAAGTAGACGGTGAAACGACTTGACAAAGGCTCCTTTGAAGCCATCCACACTGGCTGCCGAGTCTGGGGTTCTGGCATAGGCGCGCTCGATTTGCGCTCGGGAGAAGAGGGAGTATGGAGGGGGAATATCCACAGTAAGGTCAGCGGGTAGATACGATGCACTAGCGTCGTAGGCCTTGGCATGTTTGAGCGGAATAACCGCGCCATGCTCCTGTCGAGCAAAATGGGACAGCCACGTGTCGGCCGCTTGGGTGGCGTCCACCACGAAGGTGCCCGCTGCCGTGGAGAGGATAGGTAGGGGAGAGGAACGCAACTTCTTTTTGGAGCCCACGCCCAGCGTGCGTAAGCGCGCAAAGGCAGTGCGCTGTTGTGAGGTCTGCCATGCCTCGTGAACTTCGGCAGCAATGCTTTGTAGGTGAAAGGCGGCATCCAGGTCGACTGAGCACCGTACTGCCTGTGTGAATTGGGAAAGGACGATGGCCCTGATGGCGCTTGCGCGCGCGCGTAGCTGGATGGCAGCCGCGTGTGCGGTACCTATGGTAGGCGCAGAGCAAGCATGAGGGAGACGGGTTTTAGCAACGCGAGTAGGCGAGGATGCTAAAAACTGATACAAGCAAGCCATGCGAATTCTGGGCTTCCATTTAATGGAGGCATTAGGGTCAGCCATGCTGGCCCGCATGCTGCGGAGAGCAGCGCCGAGCTCCGCAAGTTTGGCAAAAGCATTATTGATTGCGGGCATCAGCGAGAGCTCTTCGTGATGTCGCAATGCCGCTTTAGGACGTGTAAATGCTTGCCTGGATCGCACATATCGCTTCCATGCCGCGATAGCTGCCAGTAGGAAAAGGTTGCGTGCTTCCTGTTGAAGCGTGTCGGCTTGGCTGACAATTGAAGCTCTGGCATCCATGAGCCTAAGGGTGGCCATGGAAACTCGGGAATTGGAAGGTGCGCGACCTGTAGATGTGCGGGGTTGAGGAAATGCCTGTAGCATGGCGTTGCGCGCCTCCCTGTCTAATATGAGCGCGTGGTCTGAGGCATGCAGGTCAAAAGTTAAAGTTTCAGGGGGAGGCGAGAAAGTGTCTTCAAGAAGCTGTCTGGCCGACGGGTCTAGGTATGCATTGGGGTCGTGCGGAATACGCATGACCTGGCGTCCCTGGTCTTCGTTAGGTCGGAGCTGCAGCTTGAATTGGCATAATAAGCACGGAACAGCGTGGTCTAACACTGCAAGTGCTAGGGAAAGAGAATACTTGACTTCGCATTCGTTGGCAGAGGCACCTAAGGGTATAGCTATATAGTCCCTGCGCTTCCAGTGCTGTTTGAAAGCGGGGTCACGTGCTGGCGCGATCCATGTGCCTGCCCCCATAGGGTGTGGCACAAAGGTGGCCGGCAGCCATAGCTTAGATGCAAGTAAGAAGCGATGGAAAAAGGAGCCAGCCGTGTTAACTTGCTCCGCGTGTTGTGGGCCAATGGCCGCTGATGTTTGCGTGCCCACTGCAGCATTGGAGTCCATTAGGACAAGAGTAGGCGTAGGCTGCGGTAAAATATGGTCGTGCACATGTCTAAGGTGCTGCCACCATACGACCTGTTCGTGGAGAGGACACCCTGAATGATGAGCGTGTGCCACGAGAATACTGAAACGTAGGCCGTTCTGACTGATGACTGCCGCAATAATGCGCGGGTCTTGGTGTACAATACGCACGCTGTGAGACTTAATAGGGAAAGTGGGAATGCCTTTGGCATTGGGAAAAACGGGCGTGGTAAGGTTGACCCATAGCGCACAGCCGCAGGCATGAGTTCCAGCTTGAGACTTTGACAAAAAGACTACGTACGGGGGAACCTGGCGCTTGCCAGAGCCCGTGTCTGTGACTCGCGTCTCTTGCATGCCGATAACGTCGAGCCCGTTGCGTTGAAAAGCGGCGGCCAGTTGGTGGAGGCGTCCTTTGACGGCCACGCCTGTAAGCCTGGCTCTTTGGGAGATGCGCGAGGCAGGAGTGAGAGAGAATGTTGGCTGAGGCCAGCCTGAGACAGCATGATGCCGTGGCGTCTGCGATCGGGGCTGCTTCTTTGAAGAGACCTGGAAAAACGTCAGCAAGCGAGGTGCGCGGGGGGAGAGGAGGATTGAGGCTAACTTGATGGTTTGGCGGGTAAAGCGCACACTGTTGCTGAGGCAGGCACTCAAGCCAGAGCCATTCCAAAATGTGCGCATTGTCTTGGAGAAATCTCATGAGGGGCGGGAGGAGGGAGGAGGGAGGAGGGAGAGGGAGGAGGAGGAGAAGGGAGGAGGGGAGGGAGGGAGGAGGAGGGAGGAGGAGGAGGAGGAGGAGGAGGAGGAGTAGGAGGAGAGGAGGACGAGGAGGAGGAGGTCGGGTCGCCTAAGCCCTTCGGAGAAACCCTCCAGCCCCCGCGCCAGGCGTTCTCTCCCCTCCCCCTCGCCCTCCTCCTCTCCTCCTCCTCCTCCTCCTCCCTCCCTCTCCTCCCTCCCTCCCTCCCTCCGTCCCTCTCTCCCTCCCTCCCTCCCTCCCTCCCTCCCTCCCTCCCTCCCTCTGTCCCTCCCTCCCTCCCTCCCTCCCCTCGCCCTCCCCCCCCCAATGCCCCGCCACGGCCCCGCTCTCTCCCCCTTGCCTCCGCTCCTGCTCCCCTGTGCGGCAGGCTCGCGTCGTGCCGCCTCTTCGGCGCCGGCCTCCGACGCCGCGGGGATCGCTCAACCCTGGAGCTCAAGTTTTTCTTTTGTGCCACATAACTGAAGGGGGCCCTGGGACACACAAATAAATACACACAAATCACCGGATTCCCCATATGTTCCCATATGGTCTGGGTGTTTGTCTACCCCCCCACTTCCCATATTTTCCCATACTTTCTGGGAAGTCGACGGTTAATTGTGTCTGTGTGTTTCTTTCCCTCCTGAATAACGCGCGTTGTCTGTCTTGGTGGGTGGGTGGATTCGCTGGCACATAACACAACACGTTGCGCGCTCATCAACAGGCGCTGCTGCAACGGGGGTGGGTGAAGCGGAGGGCGTTATGTTAGCTACTGGGTGGGTGGGTGGATTGGAGGCCACATAACGCGCGTTAGGTGTTCGAGTAAAAAACGTCAGCTCTTGAACGATCGGCCGTTCCCTAAACGTCAGATCGTTCAACATCTACCGATTCTGGGTCGCTGGCGGCGTTCAACTTTGAACGCCGGCGGCGGGGTCGCCGCCGGTCGACACCACGCGAACCTTGCGTATCCTCCCCCTCGCCCTCCCCCCCCTGCCCCACTACGACCCCGCTCTTTCCCCTCGCTTGCGCTCCGCCTCCCGTATCCTCGCCGCCCCTCTCCCCTTTCCCTCTCCCACCCCCGCCTTGCCCTTGCCAGCGCCCCACCCACCCTGCGAGACCAGAGAGAGCCTCAGGAGGGCGACTCTGCACGAACCCCCAGCGCAGGTGCATGTGACGAGGCCCAGGGACACACAAACAAAGGGGCACACATCCAAGGATCCCCCATATGTTTCCATATTTTCTGGAGTTTCGTTTTCCCCCCACTTCCCATAGTTTCCCATGTCTTTCTGGGAAACGACGATTCTTTGTATGTGTTTTTCCCTCCTGAACATGTACGGTGATGGGGCCCTCACTAGACTGCCCCTGACGTCGGTGTGCCACGAACGGATCGATTGCGCGCCGTCGAGCGGGCCTGCAAGTCGTCCGCAACGCGGATCGGAACCATAACAAGAAAACTTGCCGAACTCTGTCTGCTCTCGCTGATTTTCGTCCTGCTGTGCAACCCGATCCGTGACACGGGTCGTCCGCGCAGCACCCGGGTAGCAGCAGAGGCGAGGAGGCGGGAAGGGGAAGAGGGGGCCGGCCGGTGATCACGTGCATCTCTTCGGTGGCAGCTCACGGAGGCCTCCCACACCATCTTGTCGGCTCTTGCGAATCGACGCTAGTCGACGCTGCATCGGCGCCAGTCGACGCCAAATCGACTCGAACCAACGCCAAATAACGCTGGGTCGGCGCTACCTCATCGACGCCCAGACGCGAATCGACGAGAATCGTCGCTAAAAACGGAACTGAGAGGGCATACGATTTAGAGTCCCGAAACGGTGCGGTGACAGACCGTGCGGTGACCGTGTGAGGATGTCTCGAGCGAAGAAGCGGCTGCCAGCACCAGGAGGGCACGGACTCTCCGTCCCCGATGTGGGTCTCTTCTGTGGTCCGTCTCTACTAGAACCCTTAGAGCCCTCTGGCGAAGCTCTCCTAGAGAGATGGATTGCGGCGGCGGTGGGAGGGGCTCGATGTATACACTACGTGGTTTGGACGGCCAGAAACATGGGCGAACTCCTCCGCTGAACTCCTCGGCGCCTTTGTCAACCAAACGGCGTGATGTATATATATATATATATATATACATATATATATATATATATATATATACATCGAGTCCCTCCGAGGCGTGCTGGCCGAGGTACGCGCTCCTGCAGATCGCGCGCGCGCGCGTCTTCTTTTCCCCAAGCTTCGAAATCTCCGCGTACACGGCCCGGGCTTTCTCCAGAAGCCGCTGCCCCGCTTCAGTCTGCCCACCCACTGCCTGGAAGCCGGTGACGTTCAGGGATGCCCTCGCTGCCTGGACAGCGTCGACCCAGGCCTTCAGGTACCTGGCCACGGCACAATCTACGCATGGACATGTCAGGCTCCTCCCACCCACCCCGCCCCTCTCCTCATCGTCTTCGTCGCCCTGTCCAGGCGCGCCCACCTCCAATGATTGAAGCGAACCCAGCGCTTGCGAGAAGGGAAGTCCAGACAAACACACCATGTAGTGAAGGCGACACACACACACACACACGCACGCACGCACGCACGCACGCACGCACGCACGCACGCACACACACACACACACACACACACACACACCCACGCACGCACGCACGCACGCACGCACGCACGCACGCACGCAGGCACGCACGCACGCACGCACGCACGCACGCACGCACGCACGCAGCACGCACGCACGCACGCACGCACGCACGCACGCACGCACGCACGCACGCACGCACGCACGCACGCACGACACACAAACACACAGACACACACGCACGCGCACACACACACACAGACACACTCACGCACACACACACACACACACACACACACACACACACACACACACACACACACGCACACACGCACACGCACACGCACGCGCGCGCGCTATTCAGGTGCTATGCTCATTGTTAGGGCCCCAGCTCACAAGCAAGTTCACCCTGGGCACTTCTTGTATGCCTCAAGGCCCGCTTTATTCCTCTTCTTGGACACCACCTGGCCCCTCTTGTTCATGATCAGGTCGTCCTGAACGAATCATGCTCGGGAGCACAACAATCGTGGAGGAGGGAGGCGCTGCGTACAAAGACCGCTGGCTCGCGTACGGTGGGCAGGGGACAACCGCCCTGGCCGGCCTGCAGACTAATGACACATGCGCACAGGAAATTAAAGCACGCAACGTCAGCCAGCCTGGACCCCAAGCAAGTTCTTGCACTGTGGATGCCTAAGCTGTGATGCCAGCTGCACGGTGTGGTGCAAGCTATGTGGTGCAAGCAATGTGGTGGCGGTGGGCGGCAATGAGGCGGCAACGGCAGAAGACGCGGCGAGACCTCGAGGGACCCTGATGAGCGGCACATATGCGGCAACGGGCGGCGACGCGGCGAAACCTCGACGGACCCCCAAGTGGGCGGCAACGACGCGGCAGCGAGGCGGACCCTCGACGGAGCAATCAATCCACGTGGGCGGTGACGAGGCGGCGACGCGGCAAAACCTCGAGGGACCCCCCCACGTGGGCGGCACCGAGGCGGCAACGGGCGGCGACGCGGCGAAACCTCGACGGACCCCCCAAGTGGGCGACAACGAGGCGGCAACAGGCGGTGACGCTGCGAAACCTCGAGGGAGCCAAATGGGCGACAACGAAGCGGCACCGATGCGGCAACGGGCGGCGACGCGGCGTAACCTCGACAGACCCCCCAAGTGGGCGGCACCGAGGCGGCGACGCGGCGAAACCTTGATGGAAACATCCAAGTGGACGGCAACGAGGCGACAACGGAAGAAGACGCGGCGAGACCTCGACAGACCCTCCAGAAAAAGGCGGCACCGAAGCGGCAACGGGCGGCGACGCGGCGAAACCGCGACGGTTCCCCCAAGTGGGCGGCACCGAAGCAGCAATGAAGCGGCGACGCGGCGAAACCGCAATGTACCCCCCAAAAAAGGGGCAACGAGGCGGCAACCAGGCGGCAACAGGCAGCGAAAAGGCAAGGCGGCGAAACCTCGACTGACCCCCCGAATGGGCGACGATGAGGCGGCAACGGGGGGAAACCTAGACGGACCTCCAAGTGTGCGACACCGAGGCGGCAACGAGGCAGCAACGGCAGCGACGCGGCGAATACTCGACGGACCCATCCAAGCGGGCGGGAACGAGGCGGCAATGAGGCGACAATTGGCGGCGACGCGGCGAAACCTAGACGGAACAATCCAAGTTGGCAGCAACTTTGCGGCAACGAGGCGGCGACGCGGCGAAACCTCGACGGACCACCTAAAAAGGCGAGGGCGAGGCGGTAACGAGGGGGCAAACAACGGCGATGCGGCGAAACCTATACGGAACCCCCTAGTCGGCGGCAACGAGGCGGCAACGAGGCAACAGGAGGTGACGAGGCGAAACCCACATGGATCAAGTCAAGTGGGCGTCACCGAGGCGGCAATGGGCGGCGACGCGGCGAAACCTCGACGGAACCCTCCAGTTGACGGCGCCGAAGCGGCCACGAGTCAGCAAAAGGCGGCGACGCGGCGAAACATATACGAAACCCCCAAGTGGGCGGCGACGACAGGCACCGAGGCAGCACCGAGGCGGCGAGACCTCGACGCCCCCCCCCGGTGGGCGACGACGTGGCGGCAACCAGGCAGCAACGCGGCGGCGACGCGGCGAATCCTCGACGGACCCCACCCGGGACGCTCCGAGGCGGCAACGAGATGGCAACGCGGCGAAACCTCGACGGAAACCTCCAGCGGGCGGCAACGAGGCGGCACCGAGGCGACAACGGGCGGCGACGCGGCGAAGCCTATATGGACCCCCCTAACTGGGCGGCAACGGGCGGCGACGCGGCGAAGCCTAACCACACACACGCCCAAGGTGGGCGGCAACGGGACGGCAACAAAGCGGCACCGAGGCGGCGACGCGGCGAGACCTCAACGGGCCCTCCCCCCCGGTGGGCGACACCGTGGCGGCAACCAGGCGGCAGCGGTCGGCGATGCGGCGAATCCTCGACGGACCCCGCCCAGGAGGCCGCAAAACGCGCCCAAGAGGCCTCCAAAAGCCCAAGAGGCCCCAAGAGGCTCCCCGAGGCACCCAAGACGTTCTAAGAGGCCCCCGGGACCGCCAAAAGGCCCCCAAGACGCTCCAAAAGGCCTCCCAAAAAAGCTTCCGTTCCCAGAATCCTCCGAAGAAACTCTGAGAAACAACCCACCTGAACATCATGTCTGGATGGGTTGGTAGGGATTTGTTTGTCGCAACCGCAGGCGAAGGCGCCAGCGGCGTCTCAAGTCCGCTCGGGCTACGAGCAGAACTAAGTGCCTGACGCGCGCGCAGGCATCAGCAGAACCTACCGTCGGGGGAAGCTGCTGCGCCGAGGGCAGTGGCTGCAACCGCCGAGGGAAGCGAGGCAGCGCCGGGGGCGGGGGCTGCAAGCTGCCGGGGCTGCCAGGAAGCTGCAAGCGCGCGGGTACCCCAGGGGCGTGACCACCAGGATGAGTGAATTGGACCTTGTCGCCTCCAGGCGCCAGAGGTCGGCGCGCCACAGAAGTGGCGAAGCGCGGGGCTGCGGCTGGTGGAGATACTGTTTTGGTTCGCGGCTCCAAGGCGAAGGACATGGAGCGAACACAACGTCTGGGGCGCGGTACGTAAAAAAATTGGCGCGAGACTGGTGGAGATACGTTTTTTTTTATCTGTGGCTCCAAGGACGATTCCAGAGAGCGGGTCGTAGCAAGCTTGCGGCGACAAGCAAGATAAGTGCCAGCGGGCCGAAAGCCAACGCCGGAATGCACACGCGAGGAACAAAATGAACCTCACTAAGCCGAACAATGACGCGGCAGACACGAAGGCCAGCGGAAGGTCGCACAGTGGCGCCAGCTCCCGAGGCGCAGGCCTGCGAAAGACCGGTGGGGAACGCGGAGAGAAGAAGCAGAGGCAAAGACAGGCGCGGCAAAGAGGGCAGAGGGAGACAGGAGGGGCACAGGAAGCCTCACTCACAGAGCACGTCATGTGCTCAAAGACTGGCCGTGTGGGGGGGAAGTCCTGCCAAAGGATGAACCACTTGTACAAGGAACCATCTCCCTCAGGCCCTCCAGCCAGCACCTCAGGTAGCCTTAACCAGTTGGGGGAAAGGAGAAGGCGTGGTTGGCTCACGCATGCAACAAGTCCGTCCAATGGAAGGGGGCGATGTCGCAAGTAAGCCGGATGATCCTTCTGTATGTGCCTGCGTTGGGTTACACCACAGGCTGGGGGAAAGTGTCGCCTTCCTCTCTGGATACAGCATGCGTCTGGTGTTCCAGCCACCCTCGTTCCGCCGTCACGTTCTAGGGCACTGCTCCCACCGCTGGGGACGGTGTCGGAGTGCCCTGCGCCGTAGGAGGAGGAGGAGGAAGAGGGGAGGAGGCGCAGCCGATAGCCGCAAGATCGGGTGAATGGATGGAGGACGGGGAGCGACCAGTGGTGTGCGTCCGCCTGGAGCCTGGGTCCTCTGGGATTGGTCTCCCCACGTCGGTCAGTGGAGGGCCGACTGTCACCACTTGCGGGGGGAAAGTGCTGCCTGCTTTTGGATACAGCCCTATCGGCATATGGTAATCATGCGGCAGTGACTAAAGAAGACCCAACAGCGTGTTGCAATAGTGGTTCACCTGATGGGAGGAAGGTGCCCGCCAGTGCCCCATCGGGCGCACCCTGTCGCGTGGAAGGAGTGACCACCTCGGAGCGTGCGCGAAGACGTGGCACTGTTGGGGGGAAGCCGACTGGCGCGCTCAGCACCTCAGCGTGCGTGGAGGAGCGGAGGGGGGGCGCAGCCGGTAGTCGCAAATCAGGTGAATACTGGAGGGACGGGAGGCGCAGGTGCGCCAGGCGACACACACTGCCGAGGACCCAACAGAGCGTTGCCAGGGGCGCGTGTGGGGGGAAGGTCGTCGGCGTCGTGCAGCGGGACGGGCCCGTCGTGGAAATGCTGAGCCTCCCAAAGGATGAACCACTTGTGCAGGAATGTGCCTTACCTGGGCCCACCCGCAGGTGGTGGTGGAAGCGGGTAGGCGCGCGTGTGCGCACCAAGCCGCGGCCACGGGCGAGCGCACTCCGAGCTGGGGGGACAACCTTCACAGCAGTGGGCCGGGCCCGCCGTGGGAAGGAGGAGCCTGCCAAAGGATGTACCACCTGTGCAGGACTGCAGCGTCATCAGTGGCTGTTCTCCCGTATGGGCCTGACTAAGGGCCGGCGAAGGGCTACGTTGTCCTGTGTCTGGGTGGCTGTCCCTCGGTATCCCTGCTTTGAGTGTGGCTCAGTCAGAGGACAGCTGGCGGACAGATTGCCCAGAGGGGGATGCTCCGCGGCTTCCGCAGCCCCCATCGCTTCCGCCGCGACTTCCTGCACATTTTTCTGGCCTGTTGTCACTGTTGGAGGGGGGAGTCGTTAGTGTGACTGGTCGGAATGCGGTCGTCTGTCATTGCCGTCAAGGTCGACATCGTGGTCGTGCACGTGGTCGTGGTCGTCGTCGTCGTCGTCAAGAGGACCCAGCAGCGTGTTGCAAGAATGGTTCACCTGATGGGGGAAGGTGCCCGCCACGCGGAGGACCCAACAGAGCCTTGCAAGAGCGGTGCACTTGAAGGGGGGAAGGTGCCCGCCCGGCGGGGAGCAACGACCCCACTGGACCGCGGCCACCATGGTGGAAGTGTGGAAAAGGTAGAGGGGCAACGCACAGTGATGTCCCTGCTGTGAATGTGGTTCAGCCAGAGGACTGCCGACGGACAGACTGTCCAGAAGGGGATGCCCCGCGGCTTCCGCAGCCTCCACCACTTCCGCTGTGAAATTCCGTTCCGGTCCTCTGGCCTTGGCACTGTTGGAGGGGGGAGTCGTAAGTGCGACTGGTCAGAATAAGGTCGTCTGTCGTTTATGGTCGCCGTCAGGGTCGACGTCGTGGTCGTGCTCGTGGTCTAAAGGACCCAACAGCGTGTTGCAAGAGTGCCTGAAGGGGGAGAAGTGCCCGCCACGCAGAGGACCCAACAGAGCGTTCCAAGAGTGGCGCACTTGAACAGTGTGCGACGCGAGAAGTGGACTGAGGGGGGAAAAAGAGAGGACCCAACAACGTGTTGCAAGAATGGTACACCAGACGGGGGGAAGGTGCCCGCCACGCAGAGGACCCAACAGAGCGTTGCAAGAGTGGAGTAGTGGAAGGGGGGAAGGCGCCCGCCCGGTGGGGAGGACGACACCACCGGACCGCGGCCACCAAGGTGGAAGTGGAAGAGGGCGGTAGAGGCAACGCAAGAGGGCCTTGTGGCGACGGTGACCTCAGAGAACCCAACAATGTGCGACGCGAGTAGTGGACAGAGGGGGGGGAAAAGAGAACCCAACAGAGAGCGTAGCAAGAGTGGAACAAGAGGACCATGTGTGAGAGAAGGGTGTCAGCCCGTTGGGGGGGGGCAGTGCCACGTGAGCTGGGCGCCACCGACCCAGGTGCAGCTGCCACTGCCGGGTCCAGTCGACGTTGAGGCCCAACGCGTCGCTGAGGACCCGTACGTCGCACTTGTGGCTGCGGAAGGACTCCAGGAAGAGGTGGCAGGTTTGCGGGTCGTGCCGAAGCGGGTCGAGCGCGCCCTTGCTGCCGGGCACAGACTGCCGCTTGGCGAAAGCGTGCCAGGTGCCAGTGACCATCGATCCTAGTGTTCACTCTGGCGGAGATACACGAAGCGTCAAGAATTATTTGGCAAAGCAAGTCGGAGCCCCTTAGTGCAAACGATGAGATTCGGCGAGCCCGATAATAAACGGCCGCAGCAGCGCCTGAGCACGGACGCGTCACTACCGCTCGGGTACAGAGCGCGGCGCACACTGGAAAGGGACCCGAGCAGACGCCGTCTGGCTGCAAGCTGGGTGAAGAGCCACCCCTCCCCCGCCTGCCAGGGCTCTCTACATACAGTCGGACCTAGGCCAGAAGAATATCTCTCAAGAGCATGAGACCCTCCGTCGGCTCAGGATGCACAAGAACATTCAACAAACACGAAGATTACTAGGGTACCATCCCCGAACCGACCTGGATCATATACCTCGCTACGACTGTACCCCCAAGTGGACCTGCCCCCCTGGAGCCCCAGATGAGCACTCTTCGCACGAAACCTGACCCCCTCCTCGTTCCATCCCTGTCCTCCTCCTGCTCCGGCTGCGCCCTGCGCCTCTTCCCCCCTCCCTGTCACACCCTCTCATCATCCCCCTCTCCCCCCTCCATCGCGCTGCTCCTCCCACCCTCGGAGCCGCAGCCCCAGCCGGCTGATCGGATCGCGCTGGGCTCTGATCGTGGGCCCTTCGCCCCTCGTGCGGCCCTGCCGCGTGGCGGGCGGTCCCTCGTCAGGCCGCCGCTCGTCTTCTCCAGCTTCCCCAGGTAGACGCGCCTGCGGGCCCGGCACGGCCAGGGCCGTCCAGCGGCGGGTCGGGGTGGGGGAAGCGGGTCCCGAGGCGAGGGGACGCGGGACCGTGTTCCGCGGGTTCCAGCTCCGGGGGCCCTCCCCGGGCCCGTCGAGAAACAACGCACGAGGAGAGGAGCTGTAGCCTCGGGGGGCGCGCTGGGCTCCAGAGCCCTGCTCCGCGATGGGGTCACGGCCACGATCTGGCACCGTCGGATCTGGCATCACCACTAATCAGAAACAATCAAAAAATACTACAACAAATCGTTCCCAGATTATGTTTTGTTTACTTCTTGCTACTCCTCATGTAGAGGGACCAGGCCGACTTGATCCGAGCCCCGCCCGACGTTCCATCTTTAAAGAGAGCGGATTCCACGTCGGTCGCAAGAGGTGGGAGAAAACATGAAGTGAGAAGGCGGAGAAAGCAGATTGGGCTCAGTCCCTCCCAGAGAATCCGCCCGCCCCCGGTCCAGCTTCCAGCTTCCGCTGCTGCTGCCCTGCTCCCTGCTTCCTACTGTAAACTGTTGAAGTCCGCACGAGGGGGGGGGGAGCCGCACAGGGCCCGGTTACCGCCCCCGAGTCGTGCTGTTTGAGTTCCTGCGGGGCCGTGGGACGAGCAACGAATGCACGAGATTCGAAATCCCCCGTAAACTACATCGTGCACGAAGCCACGATCCCTCGCTGAATACACAACATTCGCGCTCCCGAGGCCACGATCTCCCGTAAATTGCACTAAGTTCGCGCCTCTGGGGCCACGATCCCCTTGTACATGATGCCACAATTGCGCCTCCGAGGCCACGATCCCTCGTAAATTTCGCGGTCCCGAGGCCACGACCTTTTGAATTACGCCACGCTCGCGCCCCCGAGGCCACGATCCCTTGCAAATGATACCACAATCGCGCCCCCGACGCCACGATCTCCCGTAAATTACACCACATTCGCGCCCACGAGGCCACGATCCTTTGCAAATTACGTCTCGCTCGCGCACCCAAGGCCACGATCTTTCGTAGATTGGGAACGTTTACGTCCCGAGGCCAGGAACCTGGCAAATTATATGATTGTTGCGCCGCCGAGGCAGCAAACCTTCGTAAATTACACCAGGTTCGCGTCCCCGAGGCCATTAACCCTCATAAAGTATCCATTGTTGCGCCCCCGAGGTAACAAACCCTAATAAATGATTCAAGGGTTGCGCCCCCAAGGCCACGATCTCTAGAAATTATACAATATTCGCGTCCCCCACGCAAAGTATGCAATGTTTGCGAGATCGTAGATTTTACACCAAGAAATATTGAAAGGAGTTTGGGGTTCTCGCATTTTCGGCGTTCCAAGATGGCTCAAGAAGCTCCCAAGACCGCCCAAGACACCTCCAACAGGGCCCCAAGACGGCCCGAGATGGCTCCAAGATCGCGCAAGGAGCGCTCCGAGAAGCCCCGAGAAGCCCCCGGGAGGCCCCAAGGGGACTCAAGAGGCGTCCACGACGAGGCAACGAGGCCTCCAAGAGGCCCAAAAGATATCCCACGAGGCCCCATGAGGCCCCCAAGAGGCGCCGAAACCGCATCCAAGAGGCCCCTGAGAGGCTCCCCACGACACCCAACACACATACAAAAAGCCTCAGACGTACAACCCAGACACGGTGGCGGGATGGGCCGACGACCTCCAAGACGGCCCAAGAGAGTCCAAGACGGCCCAAGAGGTCCCCCAGAGGCCTCCCAGACGGCCCAAGAGGCCTCAAAGAGGTCCTCCAGGAGGGCCCGAAGAGGCCACAATCATTGATTTTCCTATGGTTTTTGAAGGATGTTTGAATGTGCTTCTTCGCGGCATTCCGACGGTTCAAGACGGCCCAAGAGGCCCCCAAGATCGCCCAAGAGGCCCCCAAGAGGGCCCCACGACGGCCTAAGAGGCCTCCAAGATGGCCCCAGAGGGGCACAAGACGGCCAAGAGGCCTCCAACACGCCGAAGATGGCCTCTAAGACGCCCAAGATGGCCTCCAAGACGGCCCCGAAGCGCCCCAAGAGGATCCCCCGTTGGCCCAGAAAGACCCCCAAGACGGCTCCCGACCTCCCGACGGCGTCAGACGTGCCAGGAACCCACCAAGATGGCCGAAGTTGGCTCGAACCTGGCCCAAGACGGCCCAAGAGGCCCCCAAGAGGGCCTCCAGGAAGGCCAGAAGAGGCCACAAAACGTTGATTTTCCTGCGATGTTTGACGGATTGTGACATTTCCTTTTGTTCGGCCTTCCGACGGCCTTCCGACGGCCCAAGAGCCCCCAAAGATCGCCGAAAGATCGCCCAAGAGGCCTCCGAGACGGCCAAGATGACCTTCAAGGTGCCCACGTGCTCCCCGAAGGCTTTCCAAACCGATTCGGGGAACACATGGTCCGATGGCTTGGCAGGTCTGTCCTCAACGTTCGGCCACATAGGCGCTTCCAACAAGGCAGGGGGCGGCGGTGATTCGCCGTGGGCGTCTTCGATCCGCCGCCCCCTGTTGATTTATCAAAGGGGTGCCTGGCGTGCCGGACCATGTGGCTTTTGGTTTTGGTTCAACTCCCCCTGGGGATTCGCCCCGTCCCGCTGGGGTCCCGGGAGATTCCCGAAAATCCGTCCGTCAGATGGCCTCCAAGACGGCCAAGATGGCCCAGGATGGCCTCCAAGATGGTCCAAGATGGTCCCCAAGTCCGCCCAAGATGGTCCAAGACGGCCTCCGAGACGGCCCAAGAGGGTCCAAGACGGCCCAAGACGGCCCAAGAGGTCCCCCAGAGGCCTCCCAGACGGCCCAAGAGGCCTCCAAGAGGTCCTCCAGGAGAGCCCGAAGAGGCCACAATCATTGATTTTCCTATGGTTTTTGAAGGATTTGGGAATTTGCTTCTTCTCGGAATTCCGACGGCTCAAGACGGCCCAAGAGGCCCCCAAGATCGCCCAAGAGGCCCCCAGGAGGCCCCCATGACGGCCCAAGTAGCCTCCAAGACGGCCGCAAGAGGGCCCTAAGACGGCCCAAGAGGCATCCAACACGCCGAAGATGGCCTTCAAGACGCCCAAGATGGCCGCCAAGACGGCCCCGAAGCGGCCCAAGAGGGCCCCAAGTCGGCCCAGAAAGGCCCCCTAAGACGGCTCCGGACGGCGTCAGACGTGCCAGGAACCCACCAAGATGGCCGAAGTTGGCTCGAACCTGGCCCAAGACGGCCCAAGAGGCCCCCAAGAGGGCCTCCAGGAAGGCCAGAAGAGGCAACAAAACATTGATGTGTCGAAGGTGTTTGACGGATTGTGACATTTCCTTCTTTCCGGCTTTCCGACGGCCCGAGACGGCCCAAGAGCCCCCAAAGATCGCCGAAAGATCGCCCACGAGGCCTCCAAGATGGCCCCAGAACGGCCCAAGAGGTCCCCAAGACGGCCCCAAGAGGCCCCCAAGACAGCCCAGGAGGCCTTTAAGACGCCCGAGATGGCCTCCAAGACGGCCCTGGAGCATTCCAAGAGGGCTCCAAGTCGGCCCATAGAGGCCCCAAAAACAGCTTTCGACGGCGTCAGACGGACCAGGAGCCTACCAAGACGGCCGAACATGGCCCTAAGTCGGCCCAAGACGGGCCAAGAGGCATCCAAGAGGACCTGCAGGAAGGCCCGAAAAGGACAAAATCATTGATTTCCCATGGGTTTCTGAAGGATTGTGGCATTTGCTTTTTTGTCGGCCGTCCGACGGCCCAAGATCCGACGGCCCAAGACGGCCCAAGTGCCCCCAAAGATCGCCCAAGAGGCCCACGACACGGCCCCAAGAGGCCCCCAAGACGGCCCAAGAGGTCTCCAAGACGCTCAAGATGGCCTCCAAGACGGCCCAAGAGCCCTCCAAGACGTCCACCAAGGAGGGCCGAAAGGGTCAAAACGGACTCCAGGCGGCCAAGATGACCTTCAAGATGCCCACGTGTTCCCCGAAGTCTTCCCAAACCGATTCGGGGAACACGTGGTCCGATAGCTTGGCAGGCCTCTGGCCACAACGTTCGGCCACAGAGGCGCTTCCAAAAGGGCAGGGGGCGGCGGTGATTCGCCGTGGGCGTCTTCGATCCGCCGCCCCCTGTCGATTCATCGCAGGGGTGCCTGGCGTGCTATATTATTTCGGTGTTGGTGTTTGCTCCTTTTCAAAAAGAACTCCCCCTGGGGATTCGGCCAGTCCCGCCGGGGTCCCGGGAAGGATCTCAAAACGCGTCCGTCGAAGCCTTTCTTGCCCCAAGATGGCCTCCAAGACGGTCAAGGTGGCCCAGGATGGCCTCCAACATGGTCCAAGATGGCCTCTACGTCCGCCCAAGATGGTCCAAGACGGCCTCCAAGACGGCCTCAGAGAGTCCAAGACGGCCCAAGACGGCCCAAGAGGCCACCCAGAGGCCTCCAAGACGGCCCAAGAGGCCTCCAAGAGGGCCTCCAGGAAGGCCAGAAGAGGGACGTTCCAAAGGCTTTTGAAGGATTTTGGCATTCGCTTCTTCGTGGCTTTCCGACGACCCAGGACGGCGCAAGAGGCCCCCAAGATCGCCCCCACAGCGCCCAAGAGGCCTCCAAAAGGGCTCCTTGACGGCCCAAGAGGCCCCCAAGACGGCCCCCAGAGGGCCCCAAGACGGGCCAAGAGGCCCCCAAGACGGGCCAAGATGGCCTCTAAGACGGCCCTGGACCCAAGAAGGCCCCAAGTCGGCCAAGAGAGGCCCCCCAAGCAGCTTCCGACAGCGTCAGACGGGCCACGAATCGGGCCAAGATGGCCGAAGTTGGCACTAGGCTAGCCCAAGACGACCCGAGAGGCCTCCAAGAGGGCCCACAGGAGGGCTCGAAGAGGCCAGAATCATTGGTTGTCCTTGGGTCTTCCAAGGATTTTGACATTTGCTTCGTTTCGGCCTTCCGACGGACCGAGACAGCCCAAGAGCCCCCAAAGATCGTCCAAAAGGTCTCCATAATGGCCCAATAACGGCCCAAGAGGCCCCCAAGACGGCCCCAAGAGGGCACAAAGACGGCCCAAGAG